ACCATTGATAGGTGCATAAGAAAAGAGTAGAGAAACAATACTTAGAAACAATGCTTATGGCCGATAAATTTTATAATAATAAATAAAATGTATCGGCCATAAGCATTGTTGGCTAAGTATTGTTTCTCTACTCTTTTCTTACGCATACCAAAATGACAACTTGCCTGAAATAAAGTTTATTTCAGGAGGTGTAGTTGCCGTAAACGTACCAACCTCAACGGTCGATCCTAATATTAACTCTTGGCTCAGACATGGCTATTCCCACAAGGTGACCGCTAATAGTGTTTCGACAATACTGAAAAAAATGAAAGCCTAAAATCAAATTTTTCTTATACAAGTACTCAGCCTGGGTTACCTGTGTTGAAACCACTGCCCAACCTCCAGGCAATAACTCGSTAGGGTCACAAGAACCGGTTGTTCCCGACTCTGAGAGACAAAAAGGGAATGATCTCCTTTGCTAAAATTGAAGTCTTTATTCCCCGACTACTTCCATRGAGTTGAGTGACTGGAGACCAATATCGAGTGAGTGTCACGTATTGGAAGTTCCAGTATAGAAGAGCACCAGTTGTTGTAAATGTCGGCGCGGGTTAGAGAATTGTCTCAATTTTTCTTATAAGAGAAAAAAACATTTATAAATCGATGAACGAACAATAACATTCGCGGCTTGTGTCTTGAAAACAAAAATAATCAAAAGAAAATTACAATTCAAGCTTGAGCTGAAACTGGGATAGAAGAGATACACCAGGGATCGAACGAATAAAGAAAAAAAAAGTCATAATCGCTCATACTTGACGTTTTTGTTATAGGATACCAAAATATAAATGCCAAATAAACCAATCACGCACCTTCAGTTGTTTTAAATCACGTCTATTACCGTTCATTAATAAAAGAAAAAGGGAAATGCAAAACAAAATAAAATAAAAAGAACCTTAAACCACAGCACACGAATAAGCGCATTGTCRAGTTGAGGGAAGTTTCAGTGTTAAAAGTGATAGTAGAAACGTTAACTAAATTGTGTACCTAGACAAGGTGAGTTTCAGATACATTCGATCAGGGGTGTAATTTAACTGTGGATTGATACATCTGAGTTTTAAAAACTGAAATCCCTTGCTTTTTGTTCTATTTGAAGATGACAGAGAGAAAAGCTGTTATCAAAAATGCAGATATGACCGAGGATATGCAGCAGGATGCTGTAGATTGTGCAATCCAAGCAATGGAAAAATTTAATGTCGAGAAGGACATTGCCGCGAGTGTTAAAAAAGAGTTTGACAAGAAATACAACCCAACATGGCATTGCATAGTTGGCAGGAACTTTGGTTCATATGTTACACACGAAACTAAACACTTCATCTACTTCTATCTGGGACAAGTTGCAATCCTCCTTTTTAAATCTGGATAAACAGTGACAGAACGCTATCTCGAGATTTTGTTTTGGTGTATCTCTGGTGGCCCGGCGGTAGTGGCGTCCTCTGTCGCTCGTTTCTGCTTGGTTTCCGAGGATGCGTGTGATAGAAATTATTACATTTAGTCGTATAAGCTCAACAAGAAAAGCAATTTGTACAAATAGCTTTGCTTTGACTAGGAATGCACCTGTTTTACTAAAATTCTTCAATGAAATTTTAATTAAATAATTTAAAAAATTCTAACACCCCACTACAATAACATATGATAATATCAAGTGCATCGTGGGAAATTTCATTTGATTTTCGCATTTTGTCTCTAGATCATTAGCAAATAAATATGAATTCTTCGTACCCTACGTGTGTAACCGGCTCTAGTGCTTGGAATGCTTTCAGTTATTCCGGCTGAAGTTCGAATAATACATGTGAACAAACTTTGATAGCAGAGAAAATGATTAATTTTTAGCTCAGCCATTCATTTATTCATTTGTCTCGGGGTCAGCCTGGTGTGCTAATTCTAGACATCTAAAACACCGAATACTGAAAACACCAGAAGAAATCTCGTAAAATTTCRTTAGTCAGTACAGATTCTATGCTCGGATCAGCAGATATAAAACCATTACTGGCATCACGCTATCGGGCATTGAACTTGTATAATTTACAGACGTTTTGCCAAACGAGATATCTAAATAATAACTGTAAAATTCAATCTTCAACATTTTATTTATTCATTTGTGTACTGTAGGGTGGAGAGTCAGCATTCAAGTCCAAAATCTCAGGGGCATATCACACCTCCCCAGGCCTCAAAGTGCCCATATCTTGCAAACTAGTGGGCACCCTAGTGAACCCTCAAAGCGAAATCGATCGTATTCCCGCGCATTTTTAGAAGGGCGGAACCTCATTTGCGTACGCTTTTGTTATAGGATGCCAAAATAGAAACCMTAAATAAACCAATCACATGCCTCTCATTGTCTCCGAACGCCAATCAGGTTTATACCTTCGCCAAACAAAGTGATTTTGGTTGACAAACCCACTATCACTAAGAAGCGCGTTGTCCAGTTGTAGCTCTTGTTGTTGGTGTGGAGTATTGACGGTTATTTGTGCTTTTTGTGAAGATTTTATTCTTGTCAAGGTGAGTTTCTTCTTTCTATCGTGATGTAGACGATTGAGAAATTCAAACTCGATAATAAGCTTACAAAATTTGAAGAAAACATTTTCCCATGCGTTTTGCTTTATTTGAAGATGTCTGAGAGAAAAGCTGTAATCAAAAATGCTGATATGTCCGAAGATATGCAGCAGGATGCTGTAGAATGTGCAACTCAAGCAATGGAAAAGTTCAATATTGAAAAGGACATTGCCGCGTATGTTAAAAAAGAGTTTGACAAGAAATACAACCCAACATGGCATTGCATAGTTGGCAGGAACTTTGGTTCATATGTTACACACGAAACTAAACACTTCATCTACTTCTATCTGGGACAAGTTGCAATCCTCCTTTTCAAGTCTGGATAAACCGTTAACCGCGTTGACGCGATCTCTAATTGTCAATTTTGGTGTATGCGATACCAAAGACTTGCAAATTTTGCATTTTTGAAGGTGATGTTTGTGTGTGTGTGTTTTTTTTTTTTCTAAAAGAACTTGTACAAATAACTTACGTCAAGAAATAATTTATTTTAGTTTATCTTGAAATGTATAGACTGATTTTGCAATATTGTAATGAAAAAATGATCAATAAAATATTTATGTTTTTGTTGCTATGGAGACTAGTATATTCATTCAAGTGTGAAAGCCAAGCATACAACACTGTACATTACAAGTGGTTTAGGATTTATATTATTCTATCTATTGGTTGCATTGATAATCAAATTTTAAAACCAGAATGGATAGCCGCTATTCCAAAATTTAAATTTTCATATGTAACATGGCTAAATCCTGCATCTTTGATCATTTCAGCAAACTCCACCTGAAATGGAAAGATATCATTAAAATACAGCAAAGACTAATTATAAATTGAAGAAAAAGCCCCACAACTTGTAACTGGGTTTCCAGTTTTTATTGTTCATTTTGGGCATTTGCCCTACTTCAGCAAAGAATAATTATATTTAACCATTTATTTGCCCATAATACAATACATAAACCACAACAGCTGGAAATTTAAAATTAGGGTTTCACTGTGAAGTTTCCATTTCTTTGATATGTATTTGAGTTTATCATGCTTTATAAACACTAAAGCTTAAAAGCAGTACATGCTACATTATTCTTTTCCTGGTGAATGGAATTTAAAATGCTGACAGGAACTAAGTAGATTAACATAAATTGTATTGACAGTTTCCATAACTACCAATGGCAACAAAATTGACTTATTAATTTCTAATTTTGCTTTATCTTTTTTATTGTTTGTAATATAATTTTCCAATTCACTTGGAAGATTGAGTAAAAAGAAAACAGGAAATGAGATTATGCCCTGAGTGAATGCATATAGCACGCACACCCTTTAAATTGACATTTGTTTTTTTTTTCATTATTTACTAAATTGCATAAAGTAGTTTAAAGACTAGAGGCTATTACAATTTCACATATTGAGTGTTATTACTTGCCAAAATTGAGCAGCGGATAGAAAACTGTTCAAAATAAGAGAGTATACATTTGTAAGTGGTGATGTGATGTATAACACAAAACTCACTAATGTAAGTATTCTGGCAGTGTTCAAGGACCTCACCTGATTTGGAAATTGCCGAATACTTTCTACAAGATATTGGTACGACTTCCAATCAGCTGCTAGAACTTGGCCCATGACAGGTATGGCATTAAATGAATATTTGTCATATAAACTATAAAGATAAACAAAATTTGGGAAACAATCACCAAAAACTCATTCTGTGCCAAGCTATACGGTTAGTTTTCTTGTGTACCAGCAATTAGAAAGGCTTACCTGGATATAACAGGATTTTGTACTTCACTGAACTCCAAGCAAAGAAATCTCCCTCCTGGACAAAGAACTCTATAGGCTTCTTCTAATGCCTGAAATTTTGCAATGATATTCTTTTACACAATTGCATCATATTACTACAAACTTCAGAGTCTCTGCTCTATGACCTGCATTAAATTCCATTTGTACCATGTGAAYGTACATGTGTATGATTGAATTATTCAATAGAAAATGTCATTAGCAGCAATCGATGTGKAAATCTACAGCCTAGCTATCTTGCCAGTCTAAACGTCCCTGCTGCTGCTTCAATTCTTTAAAGGGAAACTTTAATACTAAGTAAATATAGTAAAGCTTCCCAAAAACTTTTAAATAATAAATATCTTTACCTCCTGTATTCTTGTGACATTTCGTATTCCAAAGGCAATAGTATAAGCATCGTAAGTATTGTCTTTGACAGGAAGATTCTGTGCATCACCAACCAACCAAGACATACCTAGATAAAAGTATTTCGATGTAGACAAACATCTTGCTTTTAAAAGCATGAACAAGTAAATCATTAAGACTGAATGAGGTACTATAAGCTAATGTAGACAGATTTAATCTAATTTTGAAGTGTAGTCTCCTCTCGCAGCCATTATGAGGCTCATTCCCAGGTCTCCTCATAAACAGCTACAAGAGGAGACTATGGACTATATACCTGTTGTGAAATTCAGTTTTCGGGCCTTTTCCTTTCCAACTTCAAGCATATTTTTATTGATGTCACAGACTGTCACCCATGTGTCTTTATCATTTAAAATTGATGTTGATCTTGATCTACTTGTGTGTTTTAAAAATCTAAATGCGATATCTCCTGAAAGATTACAATTATTCTATTAGAGAATGATGGGTCTAATGGATCATTGTTCTGTTGGAAACCAAGTAGTTTTTACTCTGGTTCCAGGGGTTAAATTATTTCTCTTTTCACTGCTGTTTTTTGAAATTTTGGAATCAGCATAAACATTGTTTGTTGTGGACAGAGTATTACTCCAGCATCCAAACAAACGGAAGAGTGAACTTCAATGAATGTGTAATTTATCATCTATCGAGTTTTATCACTGACCTGTGCCTCCTGCAACATCTAATAGTTGTGTTCCAGGAAGAGGATTCAATACTCTCATAAACTTATCTTTCCAAATACGATGGATTCCAAAACTCATTGCATCATTCATTAAATCATACGAGTTAGCCACATTTTCAAACACTTTATAAACTGAAAGAAAATCCAAAACAGTTTTGGTCAATTACAATATGAAGTTTAGAAACTCCTTTAAGGTCCAAGTCTGACAAATTTCAAGTTTTGGTCTTCCTGGTTGAAAAAAAATGAATAATGCAAACAACTCATATTTTCAAAYTATCTAATTGCTATGTGTACAAAAGAGTTTCCATTGAAAACAATAAATGCACATTTTTTTGTGATTTYATAAGTACAATACATTATTCATAACTGTCTTTGAAATAGCGCCTGTTATTATCTGTTGAATTTATGATAGAGCTTCAACATCCAGGCTGATTTTTTTCCATCTCTATTTTGGGCATAATGATATAATATCAATTCATACAGTTGTGAACCCTTCCTGCCAAATTCAAACAGTGCATAAGCAACCAAAACATATTAATCAGAAGAGGAAGTTTTAAAATGAGCTTCCACCAATAAAAGAGTAAAATAATATTCATCCAGGTGATAGCCAATCAAAAAGTGCTTTATATGGCAGAGAGAACACAACTGGACATACAAACTATATTTTTTGTCTACATGCATTTTAGACAAGYATTAAACTGGTATAAATTATTAAGATATTTAGATTTATATTTAGAAATTTTAAGAGGCTTTTAATGATTACTTTAAGTTATTTTTATTTTTTCTAAACTAATTTATTATTAAACTAATTTATTATTATTTTTAATCGTATTGTTGCATGTGCAAATATTACTTGATTGTAAGTTCCTGTTACCAGTGAAGGTTTATGGTTATATACAACAGAAAATAAGTTATAAGCTTTAAAAACATTTTTCACAGTTTGGAAGCCTAATAAGCTTACCTTTTTCTGTCTTTTCCTCTTCTGTCACGGTCTCAAAACCAAAATGAGTTGTTTCTTCCGAAGACTGTGCARTATTCAGAGACCTTAACTGTAGACAAGTATTTTTCATCCTTATAGAGGATATGCATCTCTGTAAAAACTTCCCACTCTCGACAACAGAAACTCTTMTCATGTTGGCAGCCATATTGGATTTCCCACAATGCTTTGTTTGTTTTGCCTCGGGGACCCCGTACCGTGCTGAGTTTTCTTGGCAGGATGTGTTCACCTCATCTGCAAAACTATAGTAACAACATGCCTTGGGGATCCTTTGCTCTTCTCAAACTCTAATCGCTTTTCCTATCTTCCGTTAGTTACGAGTAGCTTTGATATCAGACTTTTTGTCTACAAAGTAAATTTACGCGGGAAAAGTGGAACGTAGAATTATGGCGCTAAAAAAGCGAGGTACAAAAACAATCCTACCTGATTATATTTGTTTACCGTAAATCTTGTCATTATATTTTGATCATTTCACCGTTACCTTTTAATATATTCATCTAGATTTCCAGAAGATTGCTCAGCACATTCAAGAGTTTTTAAACAAGTTGATATGCGACGAATACTCGGCGGATTTGCGAGATGCACTAAATCTGGCTCTACTCTATATGCAACGATATTACAAAACATTGCGGAGTCGGAGCTATTCGAACACTATCTCTCCGAGAAGCTCCGATCATCGGTCGTTAAGTGGAACTTTGCTTTTTACTAGTAGCTCTGGAGCAATCAGCCCTGTGTCTCCAGCTTGTGGCGTACCAAACCAGTTTGAGTGGAAATGGGTTAATCTCGAGTCTCCAAAATTGTCTGTAAGTTTGGGAACAAGTGAGTTTTCTTCGCTGTCACCTTTTTTACACGCGGTCAAAACAGGTGATGTTCAAGTGACGAAAGAAATGCTCGAACAAGGTGAGAGAAAGGCGAACTATCAATCAACATCCGAAATGATTTGTTTTCAAGTCGCATTTTGTACACAAGTCGATTTTGATGTTGATAAATGCTCATAACCGTAAGACGTAAGCTCATCTTGAGGTTCACAGGACTGAAGTATTAAAAACAGAAAAACGCAAACCTGTAAAAACGTAGTTTTTATGTATTTTCCTGCATTTTTGATAGCATTCTAACAGAGCGCCTTTGTGTTTGAAATTTACAGGGCGATTAGATTATTGCAGAGAATATGCAAACAAACTGTGTGACACTAAAAGCTGCTGTCACCTCGTTATCGTAATTGCATATTTTTTGGACTTTATCAACTTTTTGTTCTATTAATTCAAGTGCTTTGTTCTGTTAAGTTCGCTGGTTTTAAGCAATCTTYCCATAACAGGATGCTCACCAGCCTTTTCTTGTTATATCTGTTATAGAAGCATCAGCCCCTTAGATACGTGAAGGCCATTTAATGAAAAAGAAAAAATGGAACAAATTTTTGAAACTATTTTTTAGCACTTATTAGAGATAGTAAGTTTTTGATCCTTATTCTAAAAAAATTGAAAGCTTTCCTAATAAAAATGCTGCTTTTTTAGGCTGTTTTCACCCAACTTTTATTTTCCATTATTTTCCTTATCTGTCAATCATGCGAAAGAAGGCAGAGATCAAGCATACCTAATATTTCATTTTAAAAGAATGGAAGCAAAATTGTTGGTTTTGAAAGCATAATTTAAGCCTGATTATATCATCAGTTATATGAAGACAATCATTGTGATGATGTTGATGACTTTTGATTTTATTATACTGACTGCACTCACAGTCCCTTCTGGTGTTTAGGTGTTACCTTTAAAAAGCTTTATCCCAAGAAAAAATCCTCTCGTGAGACATTCAACCTTTAATAATTTCTACTATTTTGTGTCTCCATTGTGACCATTTTTGTGGAGTGCACCATCTCCATGGGTGACCTGCACCCCCCACTGAGGAAAATCCAGGGTCATGCAACATTGTGGTAAATTCTTTTTTTAGATGGTAGTTGGCATAAAAAACATGAGCCGTTAGCATTTAGCGCATTATTTATACCCTTCTCTAGCCTCTTTAATATTCCATTGTCAAAATGCGAACATTCTCAAATCAGATCAATACAATTYAAAAAGTTGTCTGTTTATTCTTCCCTCTTCCAGGTCTGACTTGTTCTATAGTGTAATTTAATGTGTATCTATTTGAATGTGGTTTCAGATCCACATGCTGTGAATTCAGTTGATGGACTTGGTAGAAATGGAGTGATGTATGCTRTCTATGGCAACACTGAAAAACATACTGAATGTCTTGAATTGATTGTCAGACAAACAGAATGCCTTCTTGATCATCAGGCAAATGGTAACTGTTATTTCCATGTACTGGCCATGATTGGCTTATTTTATGACTTGTGTGTCAAGAGTTTGTACAATGAAGAACCCAAGACTTTCCTACCATGATGCTATTTTGTTTTGTTTTTTCAAAGATGAATCTACTGCTCTCCATGTAGCTGCACACAAGAGTAATAGACCAGCATTAAGTCTTTTACTGCAAAATAAGGTAATTTGCTGCTATATTTTCAAGCTCTGATTTTTTTAGATATCAAACTTTTTCCTCTTCTTTAACAGGCTTCATGTAACATTGTTGATAATGAAGGGCGAACAGCTCTTCACTGGGCTGCAGCAAATCCATCAGTTGATAATCTAAAGGTATTTACTAAATATCATACAATTTATTGATATTTTGTTTGGAGTTAATGACTTTTGTCACAATCCAATTCCTTTTCAGCAATTATTGCAACATGGTGCTTCCATAACAGCCAATGATTGYGAAGGACTCACACCTGCAATGTGGGCATGCCACTTTGAACAACTGCAAAATCTATTGCTGCTAAAGTCGGCTCTTGCACGAACAGATCCACGTGAAGAAGCACTTTATGAAGAAACAGATTTAAAAGGGARAACTGTCGTTCACTGGGCAGTTAATAAAACAGGATCTATTGACTGCTTAAAGGTAAGAAAATGCTTTTATTTCAGAACAAATTATGGACCAGACTCAATCAAATCCTCGTTTTAACAGGAACTCCTTACAGGAAGCTCAGGCCTCTTGTGTGACAGAGAGAAAAAGAATGTCTTGCATACTGCTGCAGAGCAAGGTAGACWAGCTTTCATAGACCTGCCATTAATAGTGACTTTAGGTTTACYGCACTACCTAAAGAACTATTTATGAACTAATTGAATTGATCAACTATTTTCATTCATATGCTTATCTTAGGCAACATTAGGTTTATGCTGTGATAGCCCTTTCTTAATGCCTATCTTAGCTGGTGTGTTCCTTGGTTGCACAGCAGTACAGTGCAGACTACATTTTTTAGGTCCAAATGAACATTCTTAGACTAATCTCATGAAATGTTGTACGCCACATCATAGAAAATAAAACAATAAAAGCAATATATTGAAGATGCTCCCCAGGCATTAGACATTTTTTATTTTTGTTTCGAATGAAATAAGAAACAATATTTTAATTTCTCCTGGCATACTTTCCAAGTTGAACGTCACTAATATCTTTAATTTGTATTTTCTCAAATATGTTCTTTAAGGTAGTAAAGGTATACTTGTTATAAACCTGTTTTAGGTACCATGGCTGCCTGTCAACTAGTCCTGGATGTGTGTGGTAGTGATTGCCTATTCATGACAGATAACAAAGGCAGAACACCTCTTCATTTAGCAGCTCTTTGTGGGCATGGTGAAATTGTCAACTTTCTCCTTGAACAAGGYGGTATGTATAGTGAATGGTGTTTGTTTTGTGAGGATCACAGTTCTTAAATGGCCACTGTCAATGGATGACATGCGCAGTAACAGTCTCACCTTTAACGGCCTTTGAAAGTATAACCTTCGAGGTAAATCATTTTGTGGTGCTTTTGACACACTTTGGAATATTCTAGATCTGTTTACGTTTACGATCTGATTTATGTCGCGCCAACTTGGAGTCATAAACTTGAAAACACTAGCCTAGTGTTTTCAAGTTTACTCGCGCATGCGTGCCATTGACAGTGTCCCTTTAAAACATACATAATTACTTCATCTAATATTTCAACAGAAAAAAATGGGTCTGAGAAAAAAGTCKAGTCTAAAACCAGTTGGCTTTCATAAGTTTCTGATTTAGAATTCACTTTTTCAATTCTACAGCAAATCTCTCCATACCTGACAACAATGGACTTACTGCTGTGGATATCATCAAAAGAAAACACCTTTACTATTGCATGATGGTTCTTGGTTTAAATCCACAGTATCAGAGTCTGTGTTCATCTGACAAAGATATGTCTGCCATTATTATACCTTGTTTAGATGCTGATAAAGATCCACGGTTAGTCAGAGTGTTTTTGATTTTCTATTGCCTTTTGTTAATGTGTGATTTATTCACTGGCAAATCATGAGTCAATTCTATAAAACTACCTTTATAGGCCTTGTGTATTCTTTTAGATCATGTTCAGGTGAGTAAATTGAGGGATTAGCTAATTCCCTAAAATATCCTTTTTTTCCAGAAATAAAAAATTGTCTCCTTCTGCTCCTCCATCAAATGAAGTACACCATGAAACCAGTCAAAATTCTTCTAACAGGAGAAAATCAGAACCTGTTCCACCAAAGCCTCTTCCAAGAAGCAACCGGAAAAAATCTGCACCAGTAATGCAAAACAATAACAAAAATATGGACAATGTGCAGGAACAATATGCTCATAAAGATTCCCTTACTAATWATAGTCAAAAAAGTATTGATTATAACACTTCAGAGGAAAGAGAAAGGCATGGTACTGGTCGACGACAAAGTCTTTTAATGAGGCAAGGGGGAATCCAAGAAGAATTGATGCATGGGGTTTCTGGGACCACTGGGACCACCTTGGAGATAGGTACTGAGTTAGTTATGCTTGGAGACATGGATGACCTTCAGACTCATGTTGGTGATCTAGATGATGGTGATTTAGAGATTGATTGTGGAAGYGATCATGATGATGAGGAGAACTTTGCGTTTTCTGGTCACCAGTTAGCAGAAGAGCGCGGCAGCCCATCAAGTGTRCATAGTGAACCGGACCATGCAGATAATTGCAGTGTCAGCGTTGAAATAAGTGTTTCAAGTTTAGGAAGTGATAATGATGAAATTGTGCATTGTGATGGCAATGGACARGAAGTAAATAATTTTATCCAGGTAACAAATATCTTTAATTTAAAGAATAATTGACAGCATTTGTACAAAACATTTCATCATTATACACACTGTTCTTTTTTTGCAGTCAAGTTCGCATAGTAGTCAACATCCAGCAATACAACAGCCACCACCAAGTGGGAAAACATCTTTTGCTCCACATCCACCTCAAGATCAACCTCATTCTCATTTATCTGAAAATCATAGCCATTCATCTCTGATCAAATCACAGTCATCATCACAAGTAAACACTCATCCATTACAAATGAATTCATCCCAATCAAATTCTTATTCAACTCAMGTTCATCCAGCATCAACACAACAAACTAATGTCATTTCTGGTGATTCAACATTGCATAAAGAAAAGAAGAAAAAGAAAAACAATAAAAAGAAACTTTCTTCTGATACAGAGCCTCCTTACCCAATAGGCTCCTTGAGAGGTGTAATTGCCCCCCTTGATCCCCCAGACATACGTGGTTCRTCTAAACTTGGAGGTGCAGTTGAAATAATGACCCCAAGGCCAGGCCCATGGGAGCATGCAAGTTTAGGGATTTTGAGGAGAGGCTCTCCTGAATCACCTCGACCTGGTCATCATCAGACACCAGATGAAGTAGAAGCTGAGGTTTTCGATGGAAGAGGTAAAATACCTCACTAAATATGATCAGTTTAAGTTGCAATCACTAAGTGTTGAGGCTACCACAGTTGGGGAAAAAGTCTGTAAAATGGACTTTCTTTTTTTTAAACGGACTAGACTGTTTTTTTGGAAAGAAGGATTTTTAAGTTCATAGGCAATGAGAAGTATCTAGATTTTTATGATAACCTTGGTAAAAAAAGACGTTTTTTGTCAGTGAAAAGTCAGATGAGTGGGAACCACTGCCTCTGAGATCATKGGAGTGGAAAAAAGGAAATACAGGATATTATGTCTATTCTTTTCATTTGTTGTTTTTGATAAGGTAACAGACCATGGACTCCAGAACCACCTCCGAGTCCTAGAAATGTCAGCAATAAACATCACTCATYACCACTGGTCGCTGGAGACATGTTTAACTCTCCTGCCTCAGGCRCAATGGCTCARAGTCAGGCATTATTGCGCAATACTGTGAGTAATTGAAAGAACTGTCATTGGTGAAATATTGCAATAAGACATAGATATGCACATGCTTGGGTAGTTGACTGTGCAGCACAATAAATGATCATTTTAAAGTTTTAAGCCAGCCCAACCTTGTTCCAAGGCTGTTTTTTTTTTGAAGGAAGTGAGCAGAGAAACCCTGCAAGGAACACCATTGTGSTCATTGTCACTTCAAAAAAGACCTTGCTCTGTCAGATTTTGCTTTCATTTTKCTTTAATCAATGCTCTTTTATCTTACCAGGATATGATGAGAGGACCTCAAAGTGGAAAACTTGACACAAGAACAAGTTCTAACATGGCTCCACTTTCAAGATCAAAAAGTCCTCAACATACATTTAGTCTTCATGGMCCAATACCTCATCCTCCACAAAARCATTGATGGGCTTKCACATTTTATAAAGACAWYGYAATATGCTTGCTCAAACTCAGTTATTATATTAATAATTTGTAATTAAATACGTATTGTTGCAAGTGTATGGAAATTGATGGTTCTGTATAGAGAACTTTAACATGCTCATATCCAATTGAAGCTAATTGAAAGAGCTCGATTCTAATTTATTGATGGTGTATAACTATTGGTGGTCAACTTTAAGATATTGTAAAATATTTTTGAAGTATTATTAATTTGTATTTATATATYAATAGGTCATCATGAGGCCCTGAGGGTCTTAATACTGTACAGTTCTGAATGTTTAACAATAGCATGTTTTTTTTATTATAACCACATTATATTATTCCATCTTTCAGAATATTATTTATGTTCTGTACATTTCTTTTTCTCAACCCTCAAAGAAAATTTTTCCAACTTGTAAAAAACCCTACAAAGCCTGAACGTCAAGCAAATAAATAAATTGCTGTGATGATTYATGTTGTACTCAAATGCTATAAAATGGGTACCCCATGTCAAATTCTGGGTGACAAAACTGATGGCTGGGTGCACGTCAAYAAATTCACATTTATCCATTCAAAGGTAAAACTTTAATAGATTCAGATATTCATTTACATAATATGGGACTGTACAAATATGGCCAGAAGAATTAAAGAAAGGAAGTATAATAATTGATAAAATAAGATTATAATAAGAATGGAATGGAAGTTTGCCATATAAGCTGGCCTCCAAATGGTTTCAAACCCCTTTGGAATACTACTAAAGGATACTAATTTTGTTAAACAGTAATTTCTTTTCATATTCATAAATGCAAAAGCGGCTATAAAAAAGCACATGTATTTCTATCTAAAGAAATTGCTGTTTGACAACTAATAATATTGAAATGATGAAGAAATAACGGTACATTTAACAACACATTCTTTATACAAGAAAAAGAAATGGAAAACTCCTATTTAGAAAAAAAGGTTTTACAACTACAGTAAATGCATACTTCATAAATTGGCGAATCACAATAATTTAGAACACTAGTTAGGCCTAAGGATTTGGTTATATTTACAAGGGATGTTKTCCTTAAAGTGCAGATGACACTAAAATTTATACTTTCAAAATATGAAGAGAATAGGAGATTGGTTAGTAAATCCTGCAATAAAGACTTTGAAATCAGGTTTGTAAAACCATCATCATRCTCATTGTACACAGTTGATATAGTGATATTCTCAACTTATGTTTCCTCTTGGAAAATAACACTGATATTTTGTGTCATAAAAATTTCAAAAATTATTAGCATTCCTTCTCTGCTCCGAAAGGTGAAACCTGCATAAAGTTAAACTTACACAAGCTATTATTCTCTTCATGTTAATRCTGTTTTTGAAATTACAAATTTTGTGCCATATACATTTTTAAAATATTGACCMTAAAAGGAAACCAAGTTTAACATGCCAATCCAACATTTCCTACTGTTGAAATATTTTGTTCATACACGATCTTTATCAAAATGAAAATGCAAAAAAAATTATGAAATACAGTAACATATCCACAACAAATATAAATTTATACTTAGGTAAAATAGTGGAAGTTCACTAATGTTTTGATAAAGTGATTTCACTTGAATGAAAGAAACCGGAAAGAAAGCAATGAAAATGCTTTTCACAGCAGAAACACACTATTGTCTATTTTAACTGGGTAAATAAGATTTTCCCAAAAGGTGCTACTCTCCCCTCCCCCTCTAAGAATTCACAAAACAAACATTACTATTCAAGAGTAAGTTGTTGTGAAATATTGAGATTCAAAAACTGCAATTTTGCAATCACTTCATTACTACAACTATGCAAGTTTTCACAAGGATGTAAATTAACAAAAGAATAATCTTAGAAATATGAATTTAGAATGGTTATAGTAATTTATTTGAGTAATCTTATTAAACCCAGAAAAGTAGCTTTACAATTTTTTAATTTAGCTTGTGCTAAATAGTGAAGGAAGAATGTCAATTGTGTAATAGTCCTATTAAGACACATTTGCTGGGTTAAATAAAATCACTCATCATTTTTTTCTAAAAGTGTCATTGCCAAACAGCCTTCTTKTGGTGGAGTTCCCAGTAACATTATTATATATACATGATAATCATTATTCCTCTTATCCAAGAATACAAACACTATGGGATATCTGGAGTTTGTAAATTTGACAATCATACATCATTTATCTAATAATTATTATTGTGTTTTGTACATATCTTCGTATAGTATGGATGTGGAATTCTTGCAGGTAATGTGTCAAATGTCCATGTACAAACAAAAACATGTTCTAAGTATATTACACAGATAAGATGTCTTTGCTTATTTCTTCTTTGCTTTCTGTTGTTGACCACGAGGTGGAGTTACAGGACGACCAGATGTTAGTCCTCCGTAAGGAAACTTTTTCTTGTCTGCTGGTTTTAAAATCTTGGAAAAAATAAAACAAGCAACTATTAGATCTGGGAACTAGCACCTCATCCAGCAAAGGCTTCTGGGAAACCAAGCAGATTTGTGATAATGACAGCTGTCAAAATAGTTAATTATACCAACCAATCACAACTTAGGGTTCATCTTTGTATTTGATTTTATTTGACAAGATTGATAGCTGTCATAATCACATAAAATTAAGGCTTTCTATGCTTGAAATAATAGGCTTCTTCTATTATGATTGTATAATCATCATTTTATTTTGCATCTAAAGGCAAAACACTGT